TCTGAAGGGGACTGGGCTGACCAGACCAAGAACTCTGCTGGTCTACATTCAATTATTTGGCTTCAGCTAAAGTTACTAAAAAAAAAAAAAATTGGCTGGGAGAGGTGGCTCATGCCTGGAATCCCAGCACTTTGGAAGGCCAAGACAGGCGGATCACGAGGTCAACAGATTCAGACCATCCTGGGTAACAAGGCAAAACCCCACCTCTAATAAAAATACAAAAAATTAGCCATGTGTGGTAGCAGGCAGTTGTAGTTTCAGGTACTCAGGAGGCTGAGCCAGGAGAATCGCTTGAACCCGGGAGGCAGAGGTTGCAGTGAGCCGAGATCGCGCCACTGCACTCCAGCCTGGGCGAAGACCAAGACTCCATCTAAAAAAAAAAAAATTTAAATAAGTTTATTTTTGAAACAGAGTTTTGCTCTTATTGCTCAAACTGGAGTGCAATGGCACGATCTTGGCTCACTGCAACCTCCGCCTCCTGGGTTCAAGCGATTCTCCTGCCTCAGCCTCCCACGTAGCTGGGATTACAGACATGTGCCACCATACCCAGCTAATTTTTAGTACAGACAGGGTTTCACCATGTTGGTCAAGCTGGTCTTGAACTCCTGACCTCAGGTGATCCACCCGCTTTGGCCTCCCAAAGTGCTGGGATTACAGGTGTAAGCCACTGCACTCAGCCAAATTTTTTTTTAGAATTAGATCTCACGCTGTTGTCCAGGCAGGAGTGCAGTGGCATAAACATAGTTCACTGCAGCCTTGAACTCCTGGACTCAAGCAATCCTCCCACTGCAGCCTCCTAACACATTAATATTATAGGCATGACCCGCCATGCACAGTTAAAAAAAATATTTAATGGGTATAAAACAGTAGGATCCACAGGGAAGAGAGGCATTGTCACTGCAGTGCAGGGGGCTAACAAGAGGTCTGACCCTGAGAGCTGCAAGGAACCTGAAAAAAGTCATCTCATCCATCTTCAGTTCTAGACTGAGGCTCAAAGACAGTAGAGTTCCCTACAGAGCTGCCCAAGAGAAGCACTCATCCATTCCGGGGCCTCTGAACTCACTGCTGGGAAGTCCTTTCTTGAATCAAACTGTAGTTCTTTCTGAAATGGAGACAGGAATAAGGACTTACGGTCATGATTTTCTGAACACTCCTAATTGAAGAGGGAAAATACTGCGTGTCTGTTAGAGCTATAATGATCTGCCACCATCAACTCAAATCACTATAAGTACATTTTAATTTTGTAACCTTGACTCCCAAACTGTCTCCTTCCCCTATGTTTGGGAGGCACTGAGGGATGAAGAATATTTGAGGTCAGACATACTGGGTTTAGATATTGACATATAATGGGTTTCAAGTCAGTTTCCTGAAAGCTCCTACTTGAAAGAGTGATTCAGAGAATCACGCTGGGGTCCCGCATGTGGCACCCTGGTTGTGGTCTCACACCCCCTCCCCACCCAGATACTTCAATAGCAGCACGGCTTTCCCACCACAATCCAGCCTCTGCCTAATCCTCCTCCTCCTCCCTTTCCTGTATCACAGCCACCCTGTCCTTTCTCCCTTCAAAATGTGCCTGGCTTGTCTCTTCCTCTCAGTTCCTGAAGCCACCACCTCACACCAATCCCTTATTTCCTCCCTCCTGGAACTCTTGCCTCCCCACTTCTTCCTTGCTATCACTGATTTAACTCTGCTACAATGGCGCTTTCTTGATTTTACTCTTCTGCCCAGAACTGGGAGCAGGGCTCCCCACTGCTCAGAGAAGAGAGTACCAACACCTCAGCCTGATATTTATCGATGCCCTGTTATTATCCAACCACTATGTGTCTTCTGAATGAGTGCCTCCATTTGCCCTGTACTGGGCTAATCCCTAAGCAGGGAAAACCTGTAAAGCAATCGCATCTCATTTCATTCATCCATTACATATTTATAGAGCACAAACAATATAACAACTCCCGAATTAGACACAAAGGGGAGCTCACCAATAGATAAGAAATACAAAACCTTATAATTTTATAGATTGGCCACACACTTGAATAAGAAAATGTGGCAATTTGTGATTATATATCATAACAGCAGCTGAAAGCACAAAAGCCGCTGAGATGCCGCCTGGTGCAGCAGAAAGAGCACAGGAGAGGGGCTTTCTAGTAAGAACTCTGGCATTTCCTGTGTGTCTCTGTGCAAGTATTTCACTGTTTGAGACCTCGTTTCCCTCCCACAAGCTAAGACGAGGTTCGATTGTGTAAAAAGTCCACTTTATGGTTGGGCATGATGGCTTATGCCTGTAATCTCAGCACTTTGGGAGGCTGAGGAGGATGGATCACCTGAAGTCAGGAGTTTGAAACCAGCCTGGCCAACACCGTGAAACCGCATCTCTACATAAATACAAAAACCAGCTGGGCATGGTGATGGGCACCTGTAATCCCGGCTACTGGGGAGACTGAGGCAGAAGAACTGCTTGAATTCAGGAGGCAAGGCTGCAGTGAGCTGAGATCACTGTACTCCAGCCTGGATGAAAGAGTGAGACCCCTTCTCAAAAAAAAAAAAAAAAGATAGAAAAGTAAAAAAGGGTGGAGAAGACCATGCTGTGCTGTGGGATAGCAGTTTGGGTTTGAATGTTGAATTTTAGATGTTAAAGGATACATACACAGGAGTACATTCTATTGAACAGTTAGAAACAAGGATATGTGCCAGGCACGGTGGCTCACACCTATAATCCCAGCACTTTGGGAGGCCGAGGTGGGTGGATCACGAGGTCAGGAGTTCAAGACCAGCCTGACCAATATGGTGAAACCCCGTCTCTACTAAAAATACAAAAAACTAGCCAGGCGTGGTGGCGCGTGCCTGTAATCCCAGCTACGTGGGAGGCTGAGGCAGCAGAATCACTTGAACCTGGGAAACTCGGAGGTTGCAGTGAGCCAAGATCACGCCATTGCACTCCAGCCTGGGTTACAGAGCAAGGCTCTGTCTTAAAAAAAAAAAAAAAAAGAGAGAGAGAGAGAGAGAGAGAAAGAAAAAAAGAAACAAGGATTTGTAAATAAAATTTACAGATATCTGCGAGTGTGACAGTTGGAGATAACAGACAGGATATCCAGGGAGAGTGTGGATGGCCGTGGGCAACATATGAGAGCAGCAGAACAGACACAAGAAGAGGAGATGGTCATGGGGGCTGCAAGGACAGGGGAGTGATGGCTTTGAATGGTGCGGAGCAGCCCGAGGACACTGAAAAAAATCCCACTGACCTCAGCACCTAGGAAACCATTGAGAACTGGGGTTGTGTGAGCAAAGGGCAGACAGCGAGGGCTGGAGGAGACAGGGGTGTGCTGAGGAAGTCAGGGCTATGGGGCAGCACCCTTTCTGGAGAAGTCTAGCCTTGAAAGGAAGGGGGAAAATCAGATGACAGCTAGAGCCAGCAGCAGAGACAGACAACAGGGTTTTCAAAATAGGGAAGATCATTCATGATTACAGAAGGGAAGAACCCAAGAAGGGTGGATGTTTGAGGAATTGATTTTTTTTTTCTTTTCTCTGTCACCCAGGCTGGAGTGCAGTGGTGTGATCTCGGCTCACTGCAACCTCACCACCCTCCGATTTTGGGAGGCCTGTAGCCTCCCAAGTAGCTGGGACTACAGGCACGCGCCACCACACCTGGCTAACTTTTTTAGAGACGGGGTTTCACTGTGTTAGTCAGGATGGTTTTGATCTCCTGACCTTGTGATCCATTTGTCTCAGCCCTGCAAAGTGCTGGGATTATAGGTGTGGGCCACTGTGCCTGGACGAGTTATTTTTTTTGTTATTTATTTATTTATTTATTTTTTTGAGACGGAGTTTCGCTCTCGTTGCCCAAGCTGGAGTGCAATGGCGCGATCTCGGCTCACCGCAACCTCCACCTCCTGGGTTCAGGCAATTCTCCTGCCTCAGCCTCCTGAGTAGCTGGGATTACAGGCATGCGCCACCATGCCCAGCTGATTTTTTGTATTTTTAGTAGAGACGGGGTTTCACCATGTTGACCAGCATGGTCTCGATCTCTTGACCTCGTGATCCACCCGCCTCGGCCTCCCAAAGTGCTGGGATTACAGGCGTGAGCCACCGCGCCCGGCCCCTTTTATTTTTAATAAAGATGGGGTTTCACCATGATGGCCAGGCTGGTCTTGAACTCCTGACCTCAGGTGATCCACCCACCTCGGCCTCCTAAAGTGCTAGGATTACAGGCGTGAGACACCACGCCTGGCGCGAGTTGATTTTTCAGTAATGTGTATGTGTATATATATGATTTTTTTTTTTTTTGAGATGGAGTTTTGCTCTTATTGGCCAGGCTGGAGTGCAATGGCATGGTCTTGGCTCACCACAACCTCCGCTTCCCAGGTTCAAGCGATTCTCCTGCCTCAGTCTCCCAAGTAGCTGAGATTACAGGCCACAGCACCTGCTATTTTGTATTTTTAGTAGAGACAGGGTTTCTGTGTTGGGCAGGCTGGTCTCAAACTTCTGACCTCAGGTGATCCACTCGCCTTGGCCTCCCAAAGTGTTAGTATTACAGGTGTGAGCCTATGATGTACATTTTTATTCCATAGTATGAAAACTGTTTCTTCCCTAACTACTGTAGCTTGCCACAAGTTATCCCACCCATGAATTTCAACCTTGATTTTATTTATTGATTTCATCCCTACCATGAGTGTATGTTTCTGAAGAATAGATATATTCTTTAAAATAATCTAAGAACAAGACAAGGGTATCTACTCTTGCCACTTCTATTCAACATTATTCTTACATGTGACATCCAAAGCACGAGGGAAAAAAAAAAAGGAAAACCTGATGTAACCAGGGCAATTAGACAAGGAAATGATATAAAAGATAAGTGGATTGGAAAGGAAGACCTTCTATCTCTATCTTGTATATACAAAATCCACTACAAATCTTTTTTTATTTTTTGAAACAGAGTCTTGCTCTGTCACCCAGAATGGAGTGCAATGGTGTGATCTTGGCTCCCTGCAACCTCTGCCTCCCTGGTTCAAGCGACTCTCCTGCCTCAGCCTTCTGAGTAGCTGGGATTACAGGCGCCCACCACCATGCCCAGCTAATTCTTGTATTTTTAGTAGAGATGGGGTTACACCATGTTGGCCAGGCTGGTCTCGAACTCCTGACCTCAGGTTATCTACCTGCCTGGGCCTCCCAGAGTGCTGTGATTACAGCCATGAGCCACTGCACCTGGCCTATAAATCTATTAAAACCAAGGAGTTCAGTAAGTTTGAGAATACGAGATCAATATTTTAAAAAATCAATTGTATTTCTATATACTACAATGAACAATCCAAAATGGAATAAAACAATTCCAGCCTGGCCAACATGGTGAAACCCTGTCTCTACTAAAAACACAAAAGATTAGCTGGGCATGGTAGTGATGCCTGTAATCCCAGCTACTTGGGATGCTGAGGCAGGAGAATTATGTGAACTCAGAAGGCAGAGGTTGCAATGAGCAGAGATTGCACCACTGTACTCCAGCCTAGGTGAGAGAGCAAGAGTGTGTCTTGGAAAAAACAATAAGAAGTTTGCATTATTTTAACTTTTGTACACCAAAATCTACAAAATGAAGTTGAAAGAAATTAAAGACCTATGTAAATGGAAAGCTATCCCATGTTCACAGATCAGAAGACTTAATACTGTTAAAGTCTACAGATTCAGACAGATGCAGTGGCTCATGCCTGTAATCCCAGCACTTTGGGAGACCAAGTCCAACAGATCAATTAAGGTCAGGAGTTTGAGACTAGCCTGGCCATCATGGTGAAACCCTGTCTCTACCAAAAAATACAAAACTTAGCCAGGCATGGTAGTGCCTGCCTGTAGTCCCAGCTACTCAGGAGGCTGAGGTGGGAGAATCACTTGAACCTGGAAGTTGGAGACTGCAGTGAGCTGAGACGGTGCTACTACACTCCAGCCTGGGCAATAGAGCAAGACTGTCCTTAAAAAAAAAAAAAAAAAAAAAAAAAAAAAAAAAAGTCTATAGATTCAGAGCACTTCTATCAAAATCTCAGCTGACTTTTTTGCAGAAATTGAAATTGATAAGCCTATCCTAAAAATCATATGGAAATGCAAGGGACCCAGAAGAGACAAGCAATCTTGGAAATGAAGAACAAAGTTGGATAACTCATACTTCCCAATTTAAAAACTTTTACAATGCTACAGTAACCACGACAGTGTAATAATGGAATAATAATAGGCATATGGATTAAAGAAACAGAATTAAGAATCCCAAAATAGGGCTGGGTGCAGTAGCTCACACTTGTAACCTCAGCACTTTGGGAGGCCGAGGTCGGCGGATCACATGAACTCAGGAGTTCGAGACCAGCCTGGCCAACGTGGTGAAACTTCATCTCTACTAAAAATAAAAAAAAATTAGCCAGGTGTGGTGGTGGGCACCTGTAACCCTAACTACTCGGGAGGCTGAGGTGAGAGAATCACTTGAACTAGGGAGGGAGAGGTTGCAGTGACCCGAGATTGTGATATTGCGCTCCAGCCTGGGCAACAGAGAAAGACTCTGTCTGAAAAAAAAAAAAAAAAAAAAAAGAATTCAAAAATCAACTCTTACATTTATGGTCAATTGATGTCAAGACCATTCAGTAGTCTTTTCAACAAATGGTGCTGGAACAACTGGATGTTCACATGCAAAATAATGAAATTGTTTCCCTACTTCATATCATATACAAAAACTAACTCAAAATGAATTGTAGGCTTTAAAATGTAAGAGTTAACCCATAAATATGTTAAAAGAAAATACATGAGTAAATCTTCATGACCTTGGGGCAGAAAATGGTTTTTCACATATGACATCCAAAGCACAAGAAGAAGAAAAAAAAGGAAAAAAGGGTAAATTGCACTTCATCAAAATTTAAAACTTTTTTGAGACAGTCTTGCTCTGTCACTCAAGCTGGAATGCAGTGGCATGATCTTGGCTTACTGAAACCTCCGCCTCCTGGGTTCAAGCGATTCTCCTGCCTCAGCCTCCTCAGTAGCTGGGATTACAGGTATGTACCACCACACCTGACTTTTGTATTTTTGGTAGAGATGGGGTTTCACCACATTGGTCAGACTGGTCTTGAACTCCTGATCTTGTGATCCACCCACCTCGGCCTCCCAAAGTGCTGGGATTATAGGTGTGAGCCACTGTACCCAGCCAATTTTTATATTTTTACGGAGATGAGGTTTCACCATGTCACCCAGGCTGGTCTTAAACTCCCGAGCTAAAGCAATCTACCTGTCTTGGCCTCCCAAACTGCTGGGATTACACAGGTAAGGCACTACGCCTGACTCTGCCCTTTTTTTTTTAGACATAGTCTCACTCTGTTGCCCAGGCTGGAGTGCAGTGGTGTGATCTTAGCTCACTGTAACCTCCATCTCCTGGGATCAAGCAATTCTCTTGCCTCCACTTCCCAAATAGCTGGGATTACAGGTGCCCGTCACCACACTTGGCTAATTTTTTGTATTTTTAGTAGAGACAGGGTTTCATCATGTTGGCCAGGCTGGTCTCAAACTCCTGACCTCAACTGGTCTGCCTGCCTCGGCCTCCCAAAGTGCTGGCATTACAGGCGTGAGCCACCACACCCGGCCTAACCATCCTTTTGATTGTAGCCATCCTAGTAGGTGTGAAGTGGTGTCTCATTGTGGTTTTGATTTGTATTTCCCTTGGAAGGCTGAGGCAGGAGGATCCTATAAGCCCAGGAGTTCGAGGCTGCAGTGAGCTATGATCATACCACTGCAACTCCAGCCTGGGTAACAAAGTGAGATCACCTCCCTACCCCATCTAGAAAAGGATGGACAGTCAAGTGTTGATGAGGGCATGGAGAAACTGAAACTGTCATACACTGCTGGTGGCAATGTAAAATGGTATAGCCACTTTGGAAAACAGTTTGGCAGTTCCTCAAATGTTAAACAGTGAGTTATCATATGACCCAGCAATTCCACTTCTGGGTAGATACTCAAAATTGAAAACATATAGCCACACAAAAATATATAGATGGACGACCACAGCAGGATTATTAGTAACCAAAAAGTAGAAACAACTCAAATATCCATCAACCGAAGAATAAATGAGTTATAATATATCAATACAGTAGAAGAGTATTGGCAATAAAAAGAAATGAAGACTAGGTATAGTGGCTCATGCGTATAGCCCCAGTGCTTTGGGAGGCTGAGGCAGGAGGATCACTTGAGACCAAATGGTTTGAGATTGCTTGGCAGGTCTGAGACCAGCCCTTGGCAAGATAATAAGACTCCATCTCTACAAAAAAGTTTTAAAAATTAGCCAGGCATGGTGACATGCATCTGTAGTCCTAGCTACCTGGGAGGCTGAGGTGGAAGGATCCCTTTAGCCCAGGAGCTGAAGGCAGTAGTGACCTATGATAGCACCACTGCACCCCAGCCTGGGTGACAGAGACCCTGTCTCTAAAAAAAATTGAAAACAACAACAAAAGGAATAAATTACTGCTAGATATTGCAGCATGGATGAACCTTGAAAACATGCTTAATGAAAGAAGCTAGTCACAAAAGGCCATGTATTATGTGGCTACATTTACATTTGTGTGTAATGTCCACAATAGGCAAATCCAAAGAGATGAAAAGTAGATTAGTGGTTGCCAGAGGCTGGAATGAAGGAGAAAATGGGTAATGACTGCCAACAGGTACTGGGTTTTATTTGGGGATAATGAAAAGATTCTGAAATTAGATAGTGATTATGGTTGCACAAGTAGGTGAATATACCAAAAACCACTTTAAGATATTTTAAATTTTTGTCTCACTTTGTTGCTGAGGCTGGAGTACAGTGGTGTGATCTCAGCTCACTGCAACCTTTGCCTCCTGAGCTAAGTGATCCTCCTGCCTCAACCTCCCAAGTAGCTGCGACTATAGGCGCACACCATCACACTTGGCTTTTATATTTTTTGTAGAAATGGGGTTTCACCATGTTGCCCAAGCTGGTCTCAAACTCCTGAGTTCAAGTGATCTGCCTGCCTTGGCCTCCCAAAGTGCTGGCATTACAGGCATGAGCCACTGCACCTCGCCTAAAAAATTTTAAAAGAATAAATTGTATGGTATTTAAATTATATCTCAATAAACCTATTATTAAAAATAATAATCCTTCAATATCACTAATAATAAGAGAAATGCAAATCAAAACCCAATGAGATAGCATCTCACCCCAGTTAAAGTGCTATTATCAAAAGACAAAAAGGCTGGGCATGGTGGCTCACACCTGTAATCCCAACACTTTGGGAGGCTGAGGTGGAAGGATCACTTGAGCCCAGGAGTTCAAAACACGCCTGGGCAACACAGCAAAACCGTTTCTCTACAAAAAATAAAAAAAGTCTCCCAAAAAAACCAAAAAATCACACCACTGCACTCCAGCCTGGGCAACAGACCGAGACTCCGTCTCAAAAAAATAAATAAATAAATAAATACTTTTAAAAAGACAAAAAAAAGGGGGAGGGGATGCTGGCAAAGATTCGGAAAAAGGGGAACTCTTCTGTCACCCAGGCTGGAGTGCAATGGCGTGATCTCGGCTCACTGCAACCTCTGCCTCCCAGGTTCAAGTAATTCCTGCCTCAGCCTCCCAAGTAGCTGGGATTACAGGTACCCACCACTATGCCCAGCTAATTTTTGTGCTTTTAGTAGAGACAGGGTTTCACCATCTTGGCCAGGCTGGTCTTGAACTCCTGACCTCGTAATCCACCTGCCTCAGCCTCCCCAAGTGCTGGGATTACAGGCATGAGCTACCGTGCCCAGCCAGAAAAAGGGGAACTCTTATACACTGTTGGTAGTAATGTAAATTAGTACAGCATCTATGGACTACAGTGTGGAGGTTCCTCAAAAAACTGAAAATAGAACTATCATATGATCAGTCAATACCACTGCTGGCTATATATCCAAAAGAGAAAAAATCGTCAGGTACAGTGCTCACGCCTGTAAACTGAGCACTTTGGGAGGCCGAGGCAGGAGGATCGCTTGAGCCTAGGAGTGAGAGACCATACTGAGC